TTGATGTAAAAAGAAATCAATTTATATCTGATTAGTGTTACACTTTTTCTCATACGTAATTGTTCAACCCCTAACTATTCTATTTTGATTTAAAAGCATTACATTTTTCTCAAAATATTACAAATTCCCTTATTATATTCTCAAAAGTATTACAAATAATTTAGGAAAAATTGTCAAATAGACCCTTAAACTTTACTTGAAAGTGTAATTAGGTCCCTGAATTTTAAAAAAATAAGGAATAAGGGTCAAATAGGCCACTGAACTGCACACGAGAATGCAATTAAGCCACTGAACTTAAAATACCTACAATTGGGTCCCTAAACTAATCAATTTCATTCAACTTGTCCATTTTTCAAGTTGCTAACAAGTTACCCCATCCACCTAGGATGCATATGTGGTATTTTTTTAAAAAATAATAATTTATTTTTAAATTAATTTATTAATATTGAATAAATAAAAACTAAAATAATTTATTTTTAAATTATTTTTTTAATGTTTAATAAATAAAAACTAAAATATTCTTTTTAAATAAAATAATTTGTTAAGACGTGGGATTGGATTTTATTTTTAAAAAAATAAATTATTTTAATTTTTATTTATTAAACATTAAAAAATTTAATTTAAAAATAAATTATTTTAATTTTTATTTATTAAACATTAAAAAAAAAAACTAATTTAAGGTTTTCAAAAAAAAAAAAAAACTAATTTAAAATAATTTTTTTTTAAATGCCACATATGCATCCTAGGTGGATGGATAACCTGTTAGCAACTTGAGAAACCTGAAAAATGGACAAATTGAATGAAATTGGTTAGTTTAGAGACTCAATTGTAGGTTTTTTAGGTTCAGTGGCCTAATTGCATTCTTGTGTGCAGTTCAGTGACCTATTTGACTCTTATTCCAAAAAATAATTAAACACTCAACTTATCATTTTTGTGCATCTAAACTCAATAGTCAGTTATCCATCTGGAATAACCAGTCATTAAGGTTTCAGCAACAATTTCAATGATATCAAAGTGAGGTATAATGAATTTCTCTGTGTTACTAACGTTTTCACGTTTACTTGTTTGATTGATATCAAAGGGATTGTTGATTATTAAATTAAAAATAAAATATAATGAAAAATTTATAATTTACAAATTCTTTAAATCTAAGAACTTTTCTAGCAGTTACTGATGTTGTCTTATTGCTTTAATTTCTTGAAAATTACTCATCTAAGAATTAAAATGACTATTTTAATGTCCATTTATAAATAAAAGTAGAAGCAACAACAAAGAAAAATTAAATTAAATATATTATATTTGTAATTCTGACGTTGTGAGATCAAAATGACGTTTTTTCAAATAAAAATTATAAGGAGAAAAGCTGCAATAATATTTGAATTTGCTGAACAATATATAAAACATTTTAAAAAAAGGTGGAAGCCAGCATTGACGTGTTCAATTTTTAATAGTGCTTTCCTTCGTCACTCTTCGATCTACTATTTATTAAAATAGAATAAAGGATTTAAAAACCTTTCCGCTTTATTCGCACGTGCTTAGCTTAATGGTTCAATAAATAGTATTTGAGAGAAAAGATTAATGTTCGAACTTTAATGACGACAGTATGAGATTATATTTAAAGTAGATAGATCTCTTGTGCGCATTAGCGTTTGATCCTGTCTGCTGAACCATTGAAACATCGTAATTTACATCTTCACAAATACTCTTTCAAGTCAGAAATTCCGGAATGTGAGAGACCCTTGCAGTTGAGGATTCAACCTTATCAAACAAGAAATAAAGGGATTTAAGAAAACTCAGTTATTTTTTAAAAAATATTTTAAGGAAAAAGGAAATTATTGTAATCCATTTTTTTTTTTGGGTTAAAGCTCTGGAAGAGTTGAAAGACTGGCAGTGACGAGAGTAAAGCGGCAAACATCGTCAGAAAATTGTTGTTTTGCGTTTTAACTTCTTCTCGTTTGTCGTGTACAACAGTTTGCCCCTTTTTGGTTTTTGCTCCAAATCTCTGTACTGCATTATTTACAGTAATTAATTACGTTCAGTGCCTAATTAATTATTGATTAACAATTAAAAATTATTATTTATATTTATATTCTAAACAATACATATTAGGGGTGGATGTTTCGGGTTTCGGTTCTATTTTTTCGGTTTCAATATAAAAAAAAAATGATACTATTCGGTTTAATATTAAAATTCGGTTCGGTTTGATTTGAAAAATTTCAGTTTCGATTCGAAATTAATTCGGTTCGGTTTAAGATCCCCAATTTTCAATATTTTCTAAATTTTCGAACATATTACTGAACAATACATAATCACATAATCCAAATCTAAAATCTAAACATTATATATATAACAAAATAGCTGTTGGAAAAATAGCATTAAAATGGCATTTTGAGTGATTATTTTGTGGTACAAATATATGTGGGATCCACTTCCAATTTGGGTCGGGTCAATGTGGATTCGGGTTCTTCGTAGTGAGACGAAGAATTTGATATAATGTACGCTCAAAATGGGTAATAGGTGAATGAGAAATTGATTCTCAATGTAAACCTATTTGAGAGAAGTCAAAAATTTAAATTTAGATTCTAATTAAAATTAGCATTCTAATAACTTTCGTTGCACTGCACAAAAGTTAGTGTTGTAAGCTTAAGGGGATTAAGCTTTGAAAGCTTAATTATAAAGTTTTGGAAATTGGGATGCACCTTTCGTGGCTTAATGATGCATGGACGAAAGGTGCAGCACGCATTACTGAAAATTATGAAATTTTCGACCGCCTGAAAGTGATCTTAAATCAAGTGGAAAGTCTTGTTCTGACCACTTTTGGTATCCGGAAAAACCTTTGTTGCTATTTCCGATCACTTTTTAGTATTAATTTGATTTAAGATCATTTTCATGTGGTCGGAAATTCTATAATTTCCAGTAGTGACGAAAGTTCATTTGGTTATGTAAGATTAAATGGATTAATTAAGCTTTGAAATGCTTAAATAACTAAGCACGAGAGGTTAAGCTTTGGGAAAAGCTTAAAGTGGAATTTGGGATTTAAAGCACACATTTCGTGCTTTTGATCACAGTTTCGTGCTTGGGCGAAATGACCTCCTTTCATGAGCTCATTTCGTGCTGCACCATTTGGTGCTCGCGGATCACTCGGGTGTGGTTTCCGGTTCCAATTCGTTAACCTTTCGGGTTTGTACGAACTTCTCGGTCACTCAGATATTTGAAACAGGTCGTTACGATCGGTACGGTACGAATTAATCGGATATTAAGTTCGTGACCGATAATAAGTACGACCGTTTCAAACCTTATTATCCAATTATTAAATTGGATTAATGTTGGGTTTTATGTGCCATGAATATGCTATTAAATCCTAATCTCCTATATAAGTTCATAGTAGGAGCAGTTGGTCTAGAACAATGAAAAAGAGTAAAAAGGAGGTAGAGAACAAAACACTACACACGACAGGAAAACACAATTTCTTCTCCAAAACTCTGCTCCTACTCCTTTCTTGCTACTGTGTTTTGCTCGTGCTCTTGTTCGCCGGGTTCGTTCGTTTGGGTGCTCAAACGTCGAATCGTTGTACGTTTTATCCTGGGAAACCTAGGCCACAACGCTCCTAGCACTTTTGGGAGGTGGCAAATAAGGTTTTAAGGAAAGACAGACACTTCGCCTAACTCGTACTATTCTTTCTTCATTCTCCTTCTTTCTTGTTTTGGATTATGCTTTTAAGCAAAAATCCGTTCTCCCTCTTTTGATATATTCGTTGGATTGGACTTATAATCTGAGGATTATTAGTTCCAATTTTGGTTGATATACATTGGTATATCTTTTTTCGCAAATTATGCTGTGCAACCGAATGCACCTTGCAAGGTGCATACGGTTGCAAAACGGCGCCGTTTTGGTTAAAAAAACGCGCGTCCCACTTAAAGAAGAAATCAGGTTCGATTCCCGGCAATAGCATTTTTATATATCCAGAAATTCATAACTATATAACCACAATTTCATAACTATATATCCACAATTTCATAACTATATATCCACAGTGAATGAATGAAGTAAAAATCCACAATGAATGAATGAATGAAGTAAAAATCCACAATGAATGAATGAATGAAGTAAAAATCCACAATGAATGAATGAATGAAGTAAAAATCCACAATGAATGAACTAAATATCCACAATATATGATTGAACTAAATATCCACATTGAATGAACTAAATATCCATAAATTCATAACTATATAACCACAATTTCATAACTATATATCCACAGTGAATGAATGAAGTAAAAATCCACAATGAATGAATGAATGAAGTAAAAATCCACAATGAATGAATGAATGAAGTAAAAATTCACAATGAATGAACTAAATATCCACAATATATGATTGAACTAAATATCCACAATGAATGAACTAAATATCCATAAATTCATAACTATATAACCACAATTTCATAACTATATATCCACAATTTCATAACTATATATCCACAATAATGCTATTGCTGAGAGTCGAACCTGATTTTTTTTTTTTTAAAGTGGGACGCGCGTTTTTAATCAAAACGACGTCGTTTTGAACCGTATGCACCATGCGCATGGTACATTCGGTTGCACAGCATAACTATTGATCTTTTTCATAGATATACATGTATATATAACATTTGGGTCCATTTTATATATATTTGTGTGTGTGTGTGTGTGTGTGTGTGTGTGTGTGTGTGTGTGTGTATATATATATATATATATATATATATATATATATCGGATAAATATCCAATAATATTTTATATACTTGTGTGTGTATATATAAATATTATTTTTGGGATATTAAATCGATTTTGGTTCATTATCACCAACAATAGCAATCTAAAGTTTAAACATACTACTAAGTACTAATTACGTACCAAGCATCGCATAGTTCAAATCTAATGTTCAAATATTACAAGCATGTAACATCACATAATCCAAATCCAAAGTCTAAAATCTAAATATTACATAACAACATAACAATTCAAACACAAAATCAACATAGCAATTCAAATTCCAAAGTCATATCTTGTTCATCCATCCTCCCAGATCAATATCATGACGTTGCCCTGCTGATTTGCGGATCTCTATACAACAAAACAAAAGAAAAAAAATAGAGTAATAAAATATTGAAGCATAAACTAATATAGTATATACTATACATAAATTCATAATAAAATTTAGAATTGTCAATTACCTTCTGCAAGCAAATTCATAAACTCAGTTTTCTCTAATATTTGAACGAGACTTACTGTTGCATCAGATTGGAGTGATGACTGTAACCAATCTTGTGTCAAAATCAAAGAACTCCGATATTGGTCTAAAATATGGCCTGAAATGCTAAAAGCAGACTCAGATGCAACACTAGAAACTGGAATTGCAAAAATATCACGTGTCATTTCTGACAAGATTGGGAATTTCATACTTTCTTTCTTCCACCATGATAAAATATTAAATTGCATACTCAATCTATTAAGAGTTGGATTTTCAATCTTTTCCATCAAGTATACTCTTCTACAAAGTTAGTAGGTGTGAAGTCGCTTCCTCATATGTTGTGGCTTGCCTAGGTGACTATCAAATCCCTTCTTATTGAATCTTGGGTTGCTTATTACCAAGAGCATCGCTTGTTTCACCCTCTATTAATCTCCCCACTTTGTTAGCTAAATCATCAATTCTCGATTCTTCTCCTAAATGGGTGATTGACTTTTTAGTGCAGATTTGAAAAGCAAAAGACAAAAATGGGTAGAAACAAAAAGGTGGATAAAAATATGTAAAGTACTAAGTTGATTACCTTATTCTCATTAGGGTTTTTAAGAAGAAGATAATCAAATTACCTTCTTATACCAAAAAAAAAAAAAAAAAAAAAAAAAAACAAAACTGCCTTCTCTCTCCTCATTGAATGCGCAGGTGGGAGGAGAGAGAAATACTTTTTTTTTTTTTTTTTTTTTTGAGATTTACGCACGGTGAGAGAAAGAAGAGAATGAAGAGGTTGTTCCAACTACCTCTTCTCTCTTTATTTAATTTTCCTCAAAATATTTTCACCTTCTTCTAGCATAAATACGGGAGGTAGAAGATGAAAAATGCACATCTCCTTCTTTCACCATATCATTGCTTCTTCTTCGTAGCCAAATCAAAAACAACCGAAAATTGCAGTTAGCACCGTTGCTGGAATAATCGAGGTACTTACATACTCTACGTGACTTTGTTTTTCGCAACTAATAATAATAATAATAATAATAATAATAATAATAATAATAATATTATTATTATTATTATTATTATTATTATTGTTATTGTTATTGTTATTGTTATTGTTATTGTTATTGTTATTGTTATTGTTATTGTTATTGTTATTGTTATTGTTATTGTTATTGTTATTGTTATTATTATTATTATTATTATTATTATTACCGTAGTGTAGTGTAGCTTTTTGTTTTTGTTTTTGTTTTTTTTTTTTTTGTTTTTGGAAAGGAAGTGTAGTAGTTATTATTATTACTTATTATTGTTGTTGTTTGAAGCATGTAGTACAACCATCAGTGTAATGTAGTGTTGTTTTTTTGATGCATGAAGCTATTTTTTTAAATTTTTTAAATACCTTTGAAGACTACGGTGAATATAGTTGGGCGTCTGCGGTATTAGCCTATTTGTATAGGTCAATGTCCATCGTCATTGTTGCCTTCATCATCTACGAAGTAACGTGATGACACAGTTCCGGGACAAGAGGCTAAAGTCGTTGGTTTGGGAGGCAGGTAGTTCTGTAAAGCAAAGAGACTTCGACTTGGCAATGAACACTATAAATGAGTTGTTTCCAGATGCATATCAGTACTTGGCAGAAATCCCACCGGAATACTGGGCATTGTCTCATGACGGTGGACACAGGTTTGGCATTATGACGACCAATAGTTCTGAATCCTTCAACAATACACTAAAGGGTTGTCGAATGTTACCTGTCACTGCTATCGCCCGATTGACTTTCCACAAATTAGTGGCTATGTTTCAAAACAGGCGTTCTACTGGTGAGTTAATGCAACAAGCTGGATTGCGTTGGCCAACCAATATTGATAAGGAGATGTCCGCTCGGGAACAGTTCAAGCACAACGCAACCATTCGCTCGTTTAACAACCAAAGAGGGATATACGAGGTAGCACTTGAATCAACTTCCAGTTCTTTGGGCCGGCCATGCTATGTTAAGGTAAATTTGACTGACCGGACATGTAGCTGCGTGTAACACCCCGAAATTTTTAAAATTTTGAAACTTATATAATAAAGGTAAATTCTCATTAAATCCCAAAACATAATAAAAGAGTACGGGGTGCTAGGCCACACCTGAGCTGGAGAACTCAGGTGCACATGCTCACTAACTAAAATCCTCAACAATATCAATACATAAGTATGGCACGCAGGCCGAAAGGGAAACTATCTACTCTACGCTTCGGATCTCTAGCGCGCTCCAGTGTCTACTCGTCAGTGCCTGAAAGCCAAATATATCTGTTCAGCGAGAGATGCTGGTAACCCACTCCAACGCGTTGAAATACAATACATATAGGCATACATATAGATATAAGTAAAACTATTTTGAAGCATGAAGATATATCCTAAGAGACTCTAGCTTTAAAAACAGGGAATAGACTCGACGGACAGAGATAAGCACAGTCAACAGTCATAACCAAGCATAAACAATTCACTAGCATAGGGAACAGACTCGACAGGTAGAGATAAGCACAACCAATAGTCATAACCAAGCATATACAGTTTACTAGCATGTATCCTATGCTCACGCTTTCATACATTCATAACATCAAACCATCCATATCTCATCACATAGCACACTTTGATGGCGCCACAGGACCAATCGCATGCCCATACATGAGGGTCAGCGCATATAGCTCTGACACGGCCCCGCAGCACCCTGCCTCGTATCGCAACACGAAGGGGTCGATCGCAACCGACCGATGAACCGCAGCTCATCATAATGTTTGATCGCAACCAAACAGTGGACCGCAGTCAAAGAGTAGTCATCTGACCGCAGCCAGGAATATGAACCGCAGCTCATGTAAAACGTTTGATCGCAACCAAACGGTGGACCGCAGCCCGAGAGTGTAAATCTGACCGCAGCCAGCTTCTGAACCGCATCTCAGGAATAACCAATTTGATCGCAACCAAATTGGGGTATCATGCACACGTAACATATAACAAGTACATGTAACCCACATTGACACATCGGGAGGGGGGGGGGGGGGGAATCGTATAATGAAACCTATGCGTGATCATTCACATACTAGGAATAATCCTAAGGGGTTCATACTTCTTTCACCTAGGTCAACGGGATACCAATTCAACTAGCATGCAATATATAAGACTCGTTTATCCTACGAACGGTACCCAAAACATCAAACCAGACATAGGCACGATAGACGGAGTCCGTTGGGACACCACGGGGGTCGGGGGAACATCAAACGGGGGATCTGGGATCCCGAGGTGGGATTATTTCCAGCGGGTAGCCGGTGGGTGAAGGGTCACCCGTCGGCGACAAGTCTCCGGGCAGCGGGTGCCCGGCGGGCAGTCGCCTGCCCGCCGGCTGCCCGCTGCCGGCGACGTCAATTCTGGCTGCGGGTAGGTGGCGGGTCCCCTACCCCCACCTACCCCCCACTGACTCTCTTTCACAATAAACGCCCCGGGATCCATTGTGGAACCCGAAACCATGCTTAGACACTTTTAAACGCAATCGATGACACCACGTAGACAATTAACGGATCAAAAGCGAGAAACGTACGGCACGTACCCTATCATGCTTCCTAAATACAATTAACGCCCAAACATGCGAATTCCCCCACCCAATATATCAAGAATAACACCACACGAGTTTCACGATACATCCTAGGGCTCTAATTATATTTAAATCATCAAGAACGTAATTCATCCTTTAACATCAAGAACCAATACAATTCATCAAGAATATCACATAATCATCAAGAATCCGAATTCCTCAAGAATATCACACAATCATCAAGAAACCCTTATCATCATCAAGATTATCAAGATAAAACCATATCACCAATTATCAAGATCACATCATCAATATCATAAACAATTCATCAAGACACAAGAATATAGGGGGATGCCTAAGATGGAGATCATAGCTAAGAAAATAGGTTTTGTTGAGACATGGGTTACCTCTTAGCCTTAATTGATTTCCTTGGCTATCAAGGGTCTTTCTCTAAGTCTTTCTTCTTTCTTGATTTCTCCTAGGGGAATTCTTGGAACTCCTTGTGTGGTGAGAGATTATTGTGGTGGGGGTTCTAGGTGCCTCCTATGTCCCTTATTTATATATCTAAGAGTCCTAATTAGGGCCCAATACTATAGGCTTGCTAACTCTATTCCTTTTAGGACTAGGGGTTGGGTTTAGAGATGAGGGCCCACGGACTATGGTGGGCCTTTTCCTAATTAATTATTGTAATTTAATTCTTTCTTTGGATAATTGGTTAAATGATTAATTGGTTTTAGGGGTCGTAACACGGTGTGTTACACTGCGGTCGTTGGGCTGTAGATGGATTACCTTGTGCGCACGTCATTGCTGCATGCCACTATAGAGGGACTGTCCCAGACTCCTTTGTGCCACAAGTCTTCTCGTTACAGTATTGCAGAATGAGTTATGCTAGAGACTTGAATCCATTGCCCGATGACGATGTTCAGCTGACCTCAACGCTCACGTGCCTGCCACCCCCAGGTGCCCGTCGGAAAGCTCATAGAGGTCAACAACGTAGAAGTCGATTTCCTAATGAAATGGACTTTGGATGTAACCGTCGTTGATGACGATATACCATCTATGTAATCCATTGCTCCTTTTTTTTAATATGAATGTCATGAAAAATTACAATATAGTTGCACTAATAATTACACATTTATAATTATGAAGTTCACCGCAATACAAATAATAAAATAAATAAATAAATACATAATAAAAATATTTAAAATACGTTATTATTATCATGCAATCATCATATTACAAATGACTAGTTACAATTTTAAAATCTTTGTTTATGTGATTATTTTTGTTTTTGAAAACTTTATGTTATTAATTAATATTTAATAAAATAAAATTTTTAAAAAATAAATTCAAAGTAATCAAAATTGCAAGGATTGCGTTCTAATTAAATATTGAATTAGGAAGAACATTATCAATTCTTTAATTGCTTTGAAGATCATATAATCACATATATTAAACAAATTAATGGTATTTGCAATTCTAAATAATTAATATATTAGTAAAGAAGGCAATAATTAACTTTTTAA